AAGTCTAGCATGTATGATTATGATTGCCCCTATGGACTAAACCCTCCGGTTTATATAGACACCGGAGGGGACTAGGGTTGTACAAAGTCGGTATACAGAGAAAGGAATCTTCGTATTTGCACGGCAAGCTTGCCATCCACGCAAAGGAGAGTCCCATCTAGACACGGGGAAAAGTATTTCGTCTTGTATCTTCACGGCCCATCAGTCCGGCCCACGTCACATAGCCCGGATGCCCGAGGACCCCCTAATCCAGGACTCCCTCGATAAGTAGTATGACTATTATCGGCCACAACTCTTTGTGTTCTACTCGTGCATATAACATCTACACATAGACCTGGCTCGGATGCCACTGTTGGGGAATGCAATATTTCAAGTACGTCGAACGTCTTCACGATCCAACCGATCCAAGTACCGAACGTACAGCACCTCTGTGTTCAGCACACGTTCAGCATGATGATGTCCCTCGAGCTCTTGATCCAGTTGAGGACGAGGGAGAGTTCCGTCAGCACGATGGCATGGTGACGGGTGATGATGAAGTTACCGGCGCAGGGCTTCACCTAAGCACTACGACGATATGACCGAGGTGTTGAACTGTGGAGGGGGGTACCGCACACGACTAAGGGAAAGGGAGGAGGGGAGAAGGAGAAGGAAGGAGGGGGCCGCGCCCCCACCCCTTGTCCAATTCGGTTTGGACTGGGGGAGGCGCGTGCCACCTCGTGGACCTTCTTCCCTCTCTCCACTAAAGCCCACTAAGGCCCATTAACTTCCCCGGGGGTTCCGGTAACCCCTCGGTACTCCGGAAAAATACCCGGATCACTTGGAACCATTTCGATGTCCGAATATAACCTTCCAATATATGAATCTTTACATGCCGACCATTTCGAGACTCCTCGTTGTGTCCGTGCTCTCATCCGAGACTCCGAACAAACTTCGGTCATCAAATCACATAACTCATAATACAAATCATCATCGAACGTTAAGCGTGCGGACCCTACGGGTTCAAGAAATATGTAGACATGACCGAGACATATCTCTGGTCAATAACCAATAGCAGAACTTGGATGCTCATATTGGTTCCTACATATTCTACGAAGATCTTTATCAATCAAACCACATAACAACATACGCCATTCCCTTTGTCATCGATATGTTACTTGCCCGAGATTCGATCGTCGGTATCATCATACCTAGTTCAATCTCGTTACTAGCAAGTCTCTTTACTCGTTCCGTAATGCATCATCCCATAACTAACTCGTTAGTCACATTGCTTGCAAGGCTTATAGTGATGTGCATTACCGAGAGGGCCCAGAGATACCTCTCTGATACACGGAGTGACAAATCCTAATCTCGATCTATGCCAACTCAACAAACACCATCAGAGACACCTATAGAGCATCTTTATAATCACCCAGTTACGTTGTGACGTTTGATAGCACACAAGGTGTTCCTCCGGTATTCGGGAGTTGCATAATCTCATAGTCAGAGAAATATGTATAAGTTATGAAGAAAGCAATAGCAATAAAACTAAAGGGTCATAATGCTAAGCTAACGGATGGGTCTTGTCCATCACATCATTCTCTAATAATGTGATCCCGTTCATCAAATGACAACACATGTCTATGGTCAGGAAACTTAACCATCTTTGATTAACGAGTTAGTCAAGTAGAGGCATAGTAGGGACACTCTGTTTGTCTATGTATTCACGCATGTACCAAGTTTCTGGTTAATACAATTCTAGCATGAATAATAAACATTTATCATGATATAAGGAAATATAAATAACAATTTTATTATTGCCTCTAGGGCATATTTCCTTTAGTTACTCCCCATTATGGGTAATCTACTAGTGTAAGTTACTCCCCAGTCCCCACTATGGGTTCTCAGAGAGTGATCAGGCGAAAATTGTCATTGTTATGTGGGCTATATGGACCTCTCGCAATAATATAACGCATGCCAGAGTGAGTATGAACCCGGCGCAGTCTCTCAAGCGCATAAGAGAAGCTCTTGCCTTGTTGGAGCTTCCCTTGGAACATACCAAGGTCTTACCTGGCTATGGTTGGAGGCCACCTGAGCAAGGCTGGGTCAAAGTGAACACAGATGCTAGTGTCTCAGTGATTGAACATAAGAGTGGAGCTGGAGGAGTGGCACGAACTTCCTCAACCTTCATTGCCGCGTGGAGTAAACCATGTCCCGATATCACTGATCCCCTAATAGTAGAAGTGTTTGCTTTGCGAGATGGGGTAATTTTCTCACAGCTCCGAGGCTTCTCACAAGTGCTCATGAAAACAGATAGCTTAGAGTTGGTTCAGCTATGGCACTCGTGACGTTTTTCGCGCTCCATCGTAGCGCTGTTATTACTAAAAATAGAAGAGCTAGCTTTATCTTTTCTTTCATTTGATGTTCAACATGTATTGAGAGAAACTCCAATATGTCGGCCCATTTGTGTGCTAAGCATGCTTGCACCCTTGGGATTACTGACTGCTGGATGGACTCTCCTCATGGCTTCCTCATGACCAACGTTTTGGCTGATCGTGCGGGGGCACAGATTGTTTGAATAAAGCTCGAAGTTTCCCGCAAAATAAAAATAAAAAATCTACTAGTGTAACCATGTCGCCAATCATCATAGCGCGCATTAAAACAAAACCACATGGGACTGTGGACCACTCAAAGGACAAACATTTGGGAAATCATTATGCATGCGCTTATCTTAAATGGTCATTACCAATCAGCATACCGCAACTCCAGTTTAGATAAGTGTACTACACTTGGCCGCATCTATTTTTCTACAGTTTACATAATGCTGCACGTCATTTTTGCAACCGGCTAGCTGATGAACTTAGGATTCATTGAGCAGCTTAAGGCCAACTCCACCGCGCGATCCCGAATAGACGTCCGGTTTGACCGGATTTTGTCCCTTTGGGCGGCAATGGGTTCATCCATGTCCGCGTTTGTCCGATGGATCGTGGGTGCGTTCAATGCGCGGCCCCATCCCAAAACCTGTTCGGGGTGGACGTGAATAAAAAAATATAAAAACTTAAATGAAATGACTACAAAATGCAGTTAAAAAAACATAAAACATATATAGGGGTCACGGCCACAAAACGGCCCAGTTTCTCAGTCCACTTAAACGACCCAGTTTCTCAGTCCACTTAAATGGCCCAATTTCATAATTAACATAAAAACAAAATAAAAAAACGCCTCCCGCACGCTCCTGTCGTGCCCGTCGACGCCGTAGGCGTCGCCGTCTTCACCGCCGGTATCGTCGTCATCGTCGCTGATAAGGTCGTCGTAGTCCGGCGGCATCCACAGGTGGACCGGCGGTCCGTGGTGCATGGGGGCGGTGGGCTAGAAGGTCGCCGGTGCCTGCACCACCTCCTCCCGAGGCGAGGCCTCCCGCTCCAACAACCGCGGCGGCGTGGGGCACCAGTTCACGCCCCCCACGGCGGCCGCCATCTGCTCAGCGGTGCACAACCAGCTCCATCCCTGGCCCACCAGGCCAGGGTTGGAACGCGGCCACCGGCGGCTCCACCACCTCCTCCTTCGGCACCATCTCCACCTCGGGGATGGCGACATCGCCGGCCGCGGAGAGGGCCATCATCTCCTCGAGGCCCTCCCATTGGCCCTCATCGTGCGTGTGCATGGAGTCCTCTAGCGCACACGTCATGAGCCGGGCCTTCTCCACCGTCATGCGAGGAGGTGGGGGTGGCGATGGAGATGGCGACGGCGACAGCGACGGCGTGGGTGTCAGGCCGCGCACCCGCGTACGCCCGCACGCCTGGGGAGCCGCTCGGGGCTCACGTGGCCGCCGTGGCCCCGTCGACGTGCCGGTGAAGAACGACGCCTGCCGCATGTCGTGCTCATCGCGGAACCAAGTGTCCCACAATGGCGAGTCGGGGGCATACCTCTCGTCGTAGTAGAGGTCGTCCGGGAGGAGGAGGCGGCGGCGCTGGATCTCCTGGTGGCACGCACGACCGCTCAGCGGGACCAGCAGGATCGGCACGGGGTCGGCTGACAGGTGCCAGTTATTGGGGAGGTGGACGTTGCTCCAGGGCAGCGACGTCCTCGTCTCCCAATAATGGTGGCAGAAGGCCGCCTCGATGTAGTGTCGGTCGCGCTCGCCGCGGGCCATGGGCGCGATGGAGAATGCGGGCGGCGCGGGGGCCCGGCGTGGTGGCGATGGCGACGCGGGCTTCTCCTTCTTCACTGAGCCACGGCGGCGTCCGGACGAGGTGCCAGCCTCGCGGTCGTGCTTGCCTTTGCGGCCGTAGTTCCATAGCCCTATGGCTGCGGGCGGCCGGCCGACGAGTTCTTGGCTAGGGTTTGGGACTGGGGCTGTCAGATTTCGAGGAGGCCCACTACAAGAAATATGTTAACTTATGACCCTCACCATTGGCCACTGAAAAGTCATAGTTTTTCATTTGCGACCTTTTTGCGACCAAAAACAGAAGGTCAAAAGCTGGCGGTCGTAAACTGAAATTAGTGACCTTTAACAGAAGGCCGTTGAACCCATGACTTTTTACTACCTAGCCACGTCGGATCCGACGTGGCAATCTAACGTGACAAAATTGCGACCAATTGAAAAGGTCACTGACAAAATTCAGCCCAGTCCGATTCGGTGTTTTACATGGGCTGAGCCCATTAATTCAGCCTATTTGCGTTTTTTTCATCAATTTTTTGTTGGGTTCATAGGCCTGGCCCATTTTATTTTCTAGGGCCTTCTATAATTCATTTCTTTTTTGAGCCTCGGCCCTTTTACAATCCAGTCTATTTTGGGCATCCATATCATGCATTTAGAAGCTTGACACCACAAGGGCAAATGGCTATTCCAGCTTACATCTCAGCATGTACGTATGTATCCAAATCAGAAAAAACAGAAAGCACAAATAATACAATGGTAATCACAGCCAAAATAAGTTTGTTACCTCATATAACTTAGATACAATGGCAATCACAGCCACAAGCTCTACAAGTCTCTACAAGTGTAATCACAACCACAAGCTCTACAAGTGCCCTTTGACAGCTTCGAGTGGCCCTTCGGTTTCTATCAGTCCCGATTTGAGGAACCCACCAGGCTTCAGGGTCTTCTCCATAGTGTCGACCAAGATCTCACCCTTCATGGGCATCAGAGTGATGCACCTGAACGTGGCAGCGAAAAGGATTACCTGCCAAAAGCCAAATTTATACAAGATATCAGCCTTTCAGTGGTGCAGATTATCAGAGAACCATGCTTCAGCATTACAGGGCATGGGAACATAAAATGCAATTTTTTTACAAAGGGCGTATAGTTGCAAATTTACTATCCACAAAATTAAATTAGAAAAAAACGAATGAAACAGTAAAGTGTATGTCATCCTTAGTGTTTCTACTTCCTACAAATGACTGAGACCATGGTGTTTCAACCTTTTGTATAACACTAATCTATAATAATATATATTGAGCATGCTACAGCAGAAGCTTGAATTTATGGTTTCTATACTTGTACATTATACATCCTCAGTAATATAGAACATTTTGCTTCATACTGTACACGGAAATAGGAGCAAAATTCTAATAAATTCATTACAGGCTTGCCAATAAAAATGACAGACAAGTTAACTACGCACCAGGGAACATAAACTTGAGAGGTTGAGA